CAATTTTGTGGTTACACCTAACGATTTATCGTATGATCGCCAGATCATCCAGTTTTTGTACAATTTATCGTTATGTGTAATCGGGCCTTAAACACGTAACTAGTCATTGCCTCACTAGCAACGTGGTCTAAGGAAAACATTTTGAGCTTCATTGAAGAACACCATGCGCATAAGTGTCTCTATGGAAGGTGAAATCAAAAGACTATAGCAACTGACTGAAACTGAAACTGAAACGAGAGCATGCTTATGAATAAATATTGGCTTTTGATAATCCATCGAGCCTGAAGCTGACAAGTATTTTGTCATATTCCCGCAATTCATTCACAATGTTTTTGTGTGTATAAATAATAGGCCGTTTCAGCAACCATTTCTTCGCCCAAAGTTTTCTCTTTCGCTTTCGTTTTTCATTAATCGCAGGTACACATTAGCAAGCTCATCATCCAAAACATCGTCGGATATAATTATTGCTTTCCATGGCAATGGCGCGAAATGGGTCCAAAGGACATAGGATTGGACTTGTAGGGACAGATACTATGGCCCGTTCGCAGGGTCTAAATCCCCCAGGTCTTAAGGGGAAAACTTGGAGGATGGACTAACGGGGAAAAACTTTTGGGGGACGTGGAAAATCAAGGAGTTGCATCTCCACGTATAGCCCATAAAAGATCTCTTGGTGATCTAAAATCGATAAGAGTAGGCTTCGGCCGCCACTCGGGCAAAATTCAAAAATTTCCTTCCAACTGAAAAAGTTTAATATGTCCCGCGCGCTCATATGACCTTATACAGATGTGAGCGCCGTAAAACACTTACTATTTTTTTTAATGTTCGAAAGGACTTAACCAATCGGGAAATACGTGCCTTTTTCAAGGACACAGCGTCGGATCGAAATGAGGCTTGAACTACGAACCTGACAATCACGGGTCCAGTAGTCAAACCACTGGGCTACGGATGCCACTTACTACTTTACTAGCCAATTTGGAACAAAGTAAAAACAAAACAGACAACATATAGTATAGTCATAATATATAGCATTAAACTTTGCAACAGAGTAGAGCGCAAAATATTCTCGCTCAACACTAACAGTAACAGCAGGGCTCTATGCGCTTTACAATGTAATACTAATTATTACCCCGTCACACCTGTTACTGTTAGCAGTCTGAAACTGAAACAATTTCAACTTCCGGGGAAGTATTCCATGCAAGCTGCAATTTATTAGAATAGACGCTACATACTGACAAAATCTTTCAAAGTATGGCCGGTTACCAATTTCCACCAAGGTGAAAGTGAAGTGAGGAAAATTCGTGTAAATGCGTTTCCGAAGGACACATTACAGAACGTCGGAACTACCAACACCACTAAAATAATAAGTTACATTTATTCTAGCGATTTACAACCACCAATAACCATCAATAACCTAGCTGACCCTAAAACACCCACAAACATTCTCGGCTCCCGGGGAAGCATACAATGCAAGCTGCGGATTTCATGCGCTCAAAGACTAACTAACTGACAAGATATTTCGCTGTCTGTTATACTCAATAGCCGAGAGCCCATTCCCACCAGGATGAAGTACCTTTCCCAAGGACTCAACGTCGGGTCCCTAACGGGATTCGAACCCACGACCTTACGGTTGCGAGTCTGAGAGCCTAACAAGTAGGCCGCCGAAGTTTTTGCGCAAGACGAACAGTTCACACATTAGCCTTTTTTAAGGCATGACAACCGGGGTTGGGGAGGGGAGGGGGTAAAAGGTGAGGTGCCAGAAAGCGTTAAACGCTTTGAAAATTATATCGAATCCGGAGTGGGGCGGGGACTCAAAACACCTTTTCCACTTGTACATCTCCCTT